CAAGTTTTGGCAAGTACAGGGACTGTGGTTCAATCTCTGGCACCACATTCCAATGCAGTCCTACCCTGAGGGTGGGCTGAGCCGAGCATACACATACACAAAAAATAATAATTTAGATTAATATTTTTTGAAACCCATGAAATCGTGCATCTGCGAAAGTCAAATTGCAAAATAGCGAGGGACTACTATACTTATTGTTATAAAATAAGGCACACAATGTTTATACTAACAAATGAGGAAAACATATCCTAATGACAGGATATGAGATATAATTTTGTTCAGAGAAAATTAAGGGATAAATCATTTCTACGGGTGACAGTTTGCAAAAAGTTTAAATTTATGTAAATGAGTAAATTTTAAAAGCCTTAGTGATGTAATTGAAGAAGAAAACTAAGAGCTTGAGTTTAAATCAGTTTAAGAAGCTGGGCATGGTGGTGCACATCTGTAATCCCAGCACTTGGGAGGCTGAGGCAGGAGGATGGTTGTGAGTTCAAGACCAGCCTGGGCTACAACTGCATAGTGAGACCTTGTCCCAAAAAGAGAGAAAGAAAAAAAAAATCAGTTTAAGAAAAACCAATCCAAATCTCTGGACAAAAACCAGGTGATAAGGGCTGGGAATACAGCTTAGTGGCACAAGTGCCTGCCTGACAAGTGCACGGTTCTGAGTTTGAGTCTTAGTACTAAAATTATATATATCTGTCAGTTGACAGAGCCAAGGATATAGCTCAGTGGAGCAGCGCCTGCCTGGCAAGTGCAAGGTCCCTAGTTCAATTCTTGGTACAAAAAAAAAATCAGTTGATGATGCAGTGTCCAAATCCAACAGGCCTAACACAATATGTTTTATTTTTGTAGTCTGGTGAGATTAGTGAAAACCCAAAAGGCACCTAAATTCTGTTACTACAACTCTTGGTAAAACTACAGCCTTTGCAAAAAAGTATAGGAATAATTTTAAAATGAATTAAAATATTATGTTATATAATAAACCAGTATAAATATAGGTTTAGAAATAACAATACTTGGAATATTGCCACTGTTTAAAGAGCTTGAAGAAATCAAAAGATTTAGGGCTGGGGAGATGGCACAGTGGAATAAGCACTTCCCTGGCAGGTAAAAGGGCCTGAGTTCAATCCCTGGTTCTGCCAAAAAAAAAAAAGATGTAGTCATTTAAAAATTATTTTGAGAGCTGGCAAGATAGCTCAGCAGACTAAGTGCCTGCTTTGGCAAATGCAGGGACTAGGGTTCGATACCTATCTCACATGCCGCGCCACCCCTGCCCCCGGGGTGAGCTGACCCAGTGGACTGAGTCTGGGCTTGGTGGTGCACACCTATAATCCCAGCACTTGGGAGGCTGAAAACAGGAGGATCACCATGAGTCCTACCTGCATGGTGAGATTCTGTACCCAATACATAAATAAATAAAAAAAATGTTTTGAGCTGGTCATGGTGGCGAACACTTGTAATCCCAGCTCTTAGAAGGCTGAGGCAGAAGGACTGCCAGAAGTTCAAGGTCAGCCTGGGCTACACGTAGTCAGTGCAAGACTAGCCTGAACCAAATAGTGAGATCTTGTTTCAAAAATCAAAAAGAGAGAAAATTACTTTGAAGTTTAATTCTGTTCAGATATTAAGCTTTAATTAATATCACAAATTTTTAAGACATTTTTAACATTAAAAAATTAAATCTGGCTTTCTCGTCAAGATGGCTACGCCGGCGGCGTCCGCCAGCGCGCCTCCTGCCGCTCCTGCCGCAGCCTCGGACCCCGCGGTCGCCTCAGCCCCAGCCCCCGCTCCTTCGCCCACGCCCGCTGCAGCGTCGGCCGCGGCTCC